TATACAACGGTCCTCACACATGTTGTGTTGGAGAGGTCAACCAAGATCATCCCAACTTGGACTTTGAAGTGATATGCCAAGCCATCATGCCCATGGTAAAAGCAAGCTCTCATATAGTTGTTGCAATGTTGATTTCAGTTATACAATCGTAGTATGGGTACACTGTCTCCTATAAAAAAGCTTGGTTTGCAAAACAAAATGCCATTGTCAAACTTCATGGCGAATGGAATGCATCTTACAACGAACTTCCAGGTTGGTTTAGGCTGGTGCGGACGTTGAATCCTGGGACAATTATGGACTTCGAACCTCTTATGCATACCATAATGATCGAGTTATTCGCGATCGAAGCCAATTCTACCAGGTTTTTTGGAGTTACCCACAGTGCATTAATGCTGCCAAATACTGCAAGCATGTGGTCCAGATTGACGGGACTTTCTTGTATGGAAAATACAAGCTAGTTTTATTATTGTAGTTGTCCAAGATGGCAATCGCAACATTCTTCCAGTTGCTTTTTCTTTTGTCGAAGGAGAAGATACAGATTCTTGGGCTTTTTTCCTTCGAAATTTACGTTCACATGTTATCACGAGGGAAAAATTTTATGTCATTTCAGATCGCGGAGCTGGGATCAAAGCAGCAATGGAGTCTTTGGGTCCAATGTGGTAACCACCCTTTGTCCAACATAGGTATTGTCTCCGACACATTGCTGCGAACTATCATGGAAGGTACAAGAAGAATGATGAGCATCAATTAATTGTGCGCATGGGTAAGTGAAAGCAAGTTAGTAAGTTATACATTTTTTGATCATTTTAATTTTGCAAAGAAAGCAAGTTAGTAAGTTATACATTTTTTGATCAGGTTACGAATTACTTCCTCTTTGAATCAATGCTTCAAGATTTGCGGGCAAAGAACGAGGAATGATACGATTACATCAGCCTCATCGATAAAGAAATGTGGACGAATGCATATGATGGTGGATACCGATATGGACACATGACGACCAACTTGGTTGAGGCAATCAATTCAACCTTAAAGGGTGCACGTCACTTACCTATAACGGCTTTGGTAAAAACTATATATTTTCGTTTAGGGGTGCTTTTTGCGAAGCTCGGGGGACAAGCTCAAACATGGATGCAAGGCGATCATGTCTATCACCCTAGATTAGTTGCAGATCTATAGAAAAAAATTGCTGCATCAAATGGAATGTCTGTAACAAGCTTCTCTAGAAGGCATGAAATGTTTCGTGTCACAGAGTTGCCGCGACCTAAGGGATAGAACGTGCGACTGCGGGGGTTTTCAAGCTCTGAAGTATCCATGCTCTTATGTGATAGCAGCTTGCTCGCATACACGTCAAGACTATAACCATTTTGTGGATCCCGTATACCTACTATCTGAAGTTTTTAAGGTATATGAATTTGAGTTTCCCCCCATAGGTAATGACAAAGACCCTGATGAGGTTCAAGATTGGCTTCCGATTGTACCAAATTCGAGTTTATTGAGGGAGCGTGGTCGTCCAAAATCCAATCGAATTCATTGCGATATGGATATTCGAGAAAGATCTAGACAAGACAGAAGATGTGGCCATTGTAGAAACCCAGGACATACTAGAAAAACATTTCCACTTCTGTTGTCATCAAGTAAAAATTGATGAGGAAATGATGTATTTGTTTATCAAATAATAATTCTTGTATTTAAATTTGCATTTACTTCAAGTTAATGTCATTCGATAATCGCTGATGAAGATTAAAAAAACGAACCCAATCATTAAATTTTATCAAATTAATAACAATATGGTATTTAAATACAACAAACTTACAATAAGAATTAAATGGTAAATGATAACCAAATTACAATAACTGATATTAAATGGTAATAAACAAAATTATCTGAAATATATTAAAAAAAAAAAGACCAACAAATTTAACAAAATAAAGTAAGTATTAAATGAGAAATAATAAAAAATTACAATTAAACAAAATAAAGTAAATACAAATATAATAAAAAAATCTATCGATGTCTGCGTCGCGAATGTGTTCCGCAGGAGGTAACTGTCGGTCTCGAGGAGGATTTCTTCGTATCACTGGTTCTGACTCCTCGCTGTCATCATCATCATCGTCGTCATCATCATCGTCATCGTCGTCGTCGTCCTGAGTAGGTGTCCTGAGCAGGTACATTAGGTTGATGAGGAGCTGATGACGATGAAGCACCTCCATAGAATAAGGACCCTGGAGGTGTATGACTGACTATCCCACCGGCCTGCGAAAACTGGGAAAACCCAGACATCGCTGAGTGTGAAAACTGTACAGGAGGTGTCTGTGCTGCGGCCATGGGTGATGAGGCTGAACCCGCCAAATATATAGCATATGAACCCCAAGTCTGATCTGCAAACATTGACCCATAATAGCCTCCAAGAGGGGTCATCTATGACGGTGGCGGAGTCATAAAACCAGGTGAAGGCGGCGGCAGCGGCATCTGGTAATGGAAAGGAGATGGCGGCATCATATATGGCTGCGACATCATATATGGCTGCGGTGACTGCTGGGAAGGTCCTGCTGGTGCAGTTGAGGATGAACCGGAAGCACCTGCTCTCCGTCCACGAGTCGGGGGACGATGGTGCTATGTCGGATCACGTCTCTATCGACGTCGCTGAAAGATTTGCCCTTGTGCATCCTCGGGAAGAAGAAACGGTTTCCCGTTACTGTTAAACCACTCATAATAACCGTCAGGCATACATCAAGAGGTCATCAAAAATGGGCTCTCTACGGGGAAGGCGCCGATGTCGATCCTCCCACAACACGACCCACTCATGATGCCTCACCAGCCAATCTGTATCTGTCTTGCCGCGTCTATCTAAGCTATGCAACTCGTCCATATTACGAGGTGCTTCCAGAATTGGTTGAAAACAACCAAACTGCTAGAGCACGCGATCAGTGGAGTGCCACTCGACGGTCGCATAACAGGTCAGAGGGACCATCGCCATCCAAACATCTGATGGACCCCTCAACTCAGGTGGGATCACCGCCCTCACATCATTAGTAGAATATGGCACCCATTCAAACTAAAATAAATAATCTATAATTTTTATCAAAATAATAATCTAATTATATAACTATAATCTAAAATCGATTTTTAAACATTAAAATTCATACCTGTGTGCCAGCCTTCTGATCGATTAGCACCATAATTTTTTCTAAATCATCAGGTAGCTCCTGATGATTTTTCCTATCAGTAGACCACCTATTCAAGGAAAAAAATTTGTTATACGCTGTATAAAATTATTAATATACAAAATCAGTTTTATAATTACCTCAGAAGTAGTGGAAATACGAATGGGTTCTTCACAACGGGACATAAAAAGGGCAATCGATACCAGGCCCAAGAGTGCAACAGTAGGAGACATTCGCCGATAGCATTACGCCTGTAGTCAGTGGCTCCACACATCTCCCTGTACAGCAAAGCCAAAACTGACGAGCCCCAACTGAATGATCCAGCGATACGAAAGTCGCTAAGATGTCGAAACCCTCCTATCAGCTGCAGTATGCATGCCCGTGCATACATCTTAACCTTATCCTCGGAGGCGTCTGCGCTCAACTCCCGAAAATTGGCATCTAACCAATTTAACGGTATCCTACCTCCGATAAAATTTTCCGGGACACGTCCTAGACTATCCCGACACAAAGTAGTCCAAGAACCGGAAGCTATCCCCGATATCACATCTCCATCCACCGGAAGCCCCAGGTGCATAGAAATATCCTCAAGCGTGATCGTGCACTCTCCGCACGGAAGATGGAATGTGCGGGTCTCCGGCCTCCACCGCTCTACTAAGGCAGAAATAAGGTATGGCTCTATCTTACAGTGACCATGATATCTACCTATGTAACCGAATCCAGCCTCTACTAAATACGGCAAGACACGGCTGTGTATCACTAACTTAAGATTCCTAATAAAAGGATCTAATGCACGGTCCTTCTCCTAAAAATAAATAATTACAAAAATTAATTCTTAATCTAATAATCATGCATTAAATAAATCAACTAATTATTACTAATAATTTGAATTAAATTAAAACGTTAAAATATTACCGTATCAGCAAAGTGTCGAGATATTTAATTCTTAATCTAATAATCATGCATTAAATAAATCAACTAATTATTACTAATAATTTAAATTAAATTAAAACGTTAAAATATTACCGTATCAGCAAAGTGTCGAGATATTTAATTATTAATCTAATAATCATGCATTAAATAAATCAACTAATTATTACTAATAATTTAAATTAAATTAAAACGTTAAAATGTTACCGTATCAGCAAAGTATAGAGATATATGATTTTCATCCGAGCGAAGTAGACTGCCTTCCATTATATATCTGCAAAAGAATTATATTAGTAAAATATTAAATAAATTAAAATACTTAAATAAATTAAATACATAATAATAAAAATATTATAAAATATACCTTAAAAAAAGAGAGTATTTGAGACAAATTTAGAGAATTTGAGAGAATTTGGTGTGATAAAAGTGATTGAGGATGAGAGTAATTATAGGGAGGATTGAGATGTGGAGGGGTGGGTATTTAGGGGTATAGTGCGCCCTCTGCACCGCGCTATACCTCACGTGTCAGATACCTAGGTATAGCGGATCAGGGGGCGTTCTATACCCACGTGGCGCCAAATCACTGTATATCGCGGGACAGGAGGCGCGCTATACCCACGTGACGTCAAATCAACGTATAACGCGATTAAAGACACACTTTACTGCTATGAATATTAGATCAAAAAATATAATCTAATCGATATTAATAAATATACCGATCACCGATAATTTATTGAGAAAAACGTCTTTAAACTGTCCATATATTACAAGAAATAATAATTACTTTTTGTACAGCCCACCCTTTTGTTTTGTGTCAACTTACATGACGTGATCACATTTTCGCCGCCCTATAAATACCCTCACTTTGAGCCTACAATCAACTCTCTCGTCATCTCCGAAGCACAACTAAACAGTGTTTTGATAAGGCAAAGAGAAAGAGGAAGGAGAATGGTGAGAGCTCCATGTTGTGAGAAAATGGGATTGAAGAAAGGTCCTTGGACCCCCGAAGAAGACCAGATTCTCGTCAATTACATTCAAATCCACGGCCATGGCAACTGGCGAGCTCTCCCCAAACAAGCTGGTATCCTCCCCTTCATTCTTCTTCAAAAACCCAGAAAAAAAAAACAAAGCATCATCGTTAATCTTGTTCCTTGTTGTTTCCAGGTTTATTGAGATGCGGAAAGAGTTGCAGGCTACGTTGGACAAATTATTTGAGGCCAGATATTAAACGAGGGAATTTCACCAGGGAAGAAGAAGACACCATTATCAACTTACATGAACTGCTTGGTAACAAGTAAGCATCGATTTTTGATAATCATATTTTTAATTCCAAATTGATTGTAAAATATAAGCATAGAAATCCGTGGGGATTGAAAGATTCCTTGCTATGATTGTCTGTTTTGTTTATCATAATCAATAAAAATTATGCAAAATCAAACAAGATCAAAACTTTGGTAACGGCAAGATACTGATTCTCTCCAACTTACAGATGGTCGGCGATTGCGGCGAGGTTACCGGGACGGACGGACAACGAAATCAAGAACGTATGGAACACACACTTGAAGAAAAGGCTCAAACACAACAACCATGGCAATAACCGACAACAACTCATTGATTCACCCAAAGACATAAAAAAACAACAACCCGTGAAATTCACTGCCCCCGTGACTGCAGATAGCCCCCAACAATCGATCAGCGACGCATCGATATTAACGACAAGCGACAACAACAGCAACAGCAACAGCCGTAGTACCACTTTCACCATGAACACCGAAACCAACGAAGTTGGTGTGTCCGAGATCGACGAGAACTTCTGGTCGGAAGTGTTGTCGGCGGATAACTCGAGCATGACCGCCGATTTCCAAGTTGTTGTTGATCAGTTTTTCACGAGCTCATTGGAAGCGGCGAATGACTACGGTTCCGGTGTTTATGATACCGATTCTAACATGGATTTTTGGCATGATATTTTCACCGGAGCGGCGGATTTACCTGAGTTTTGAGTTTGATCTCTGTAATTTACCTTTTCGATCAATGTAGCCCTTTAGTTTTCTCTCTTTCTTTCAATTTTAACCTCTTTATTATTGAGATTGGGATTAGAGTAAACATGTAGGAAGATCTTGATATTGTCAAATCTTTGGAAATCGCTCTTTCAAATACAATAATTTGGGTAGCACTAAGTCACTAACCAAGTGCTTGTCAAAACATGGCTACAATTGGTCTGTGTGTGCTTCTCAAATGCTTACTCCACCCCATTGATTGCAACTCCTTCCCATGTATTTACAGACACCAGTTTTACAACCATTTGATTACGTTATAACTCCCCACAACTTTTGGAAACTATCAATTAAAATATACATATAAAACTTTTAATAAATTCACGTGATTTATTATAAGTTACATAAAATTTAATATCTGATTATTAAATTTATTTAATCAATTAGTCTACAAATAATTCTATTATTCTTTATCACATCACATCACAATTAGGATCATTATAAATATTTTTCAACTAAATTGATAAAAATGACAAATCTTCATTTATTTAGGTGATGTTTGTTTTCAGTGTGCAAGCACTTCAAAACACTTATGTCTGCGTCGCGCAGACATTAGCCTTCGCAGACTGTTTATTTTTTAGAAGACAAAAGCTCTTCAAAGGTCTGCGCGAGCTCTTCTTGGTGCAAGCATGGTTTTATGTCTTCAAAGATTTTCAAAGATCTTCAAAAACAATTATAAAATATAATTATTTATTAAAATAATTTTAAATAATTTAATAAGGTTATTTATTTTAAAATAATTTATTTTAAAATAATTTATTATAAAATAATTTATTATAAAATAATTTATTATAAAATAAATTATTTTAAAATAAATTATTATAAAATATGGATTGATTTATTTTAAAATAATTTATTTTAAATAATTTATTCGTATGTATTGATTTATTTTAAAATATGGATTGATTTATTTTAAATAATTTATTAGTATGGATTGATTTATTTTAAATAATTTATTAGTATGAATTGATTTATTATTATAGTTGTATGGATTGATTTATTTTAAATAATTTATTAGTATGGATTGATTTATTTTAAAATATGGATTGATTTATTTTAAATAGTTTATTAGTATGAATTGATTTATTTTAAAATATGGATTGATTTATTTTAAATAATTTATTAGTATAGATTGATTTATTTTAAATAATTTATTAGTATGGATTGATTTATTTTAAAATATGGATTGATTTATTTTAAATAATTTATTAGTATGAATTAATTTATTTTAAAATATGGATTAATTTATTTTAAATAATTTATTAGTATGGATTGATTTATTTTAAAATATGGATTGATTTATTTTAAATAATTTATTAGTATGGATTGATTTATTTTAAAATATGAATTGATTTATTTTAAATAATTTATTATTGTAGTTGTATGGATTATTTAAATTCCAGTATTATAAAACTAAATTATTTAAATCTCATTATTGCAAAACTCTTTTAAGTTTAAAAAATCAGTTTATTTATATTTCAGTTCATTTTAACAGTCTGCAGACGTTAAAAAACAAACAATCTTCTTCTTGCAGACTGCAGACTTTTGGTCCACCTCCTCTGCTGCAGATGTGATCCGCAGACTACATACCTTTTACCTTTGTAAAAATAAACACCACCTTAGAGACGATCTCCGTCCTTCTGAACTTTTATGATCATTTCTCTCAAACATCAATTAATGATCATTTCTCTCAGACATCGATTAATGATCATTTTTCACCTATAGTGACTCGTCATTCAAAATAAAAAAGCAATTATGAACAACCAACGAGATAAACTTGTTCTATCATCAATTATTAAAATTTTAAAATGGTTTAATCACGACCAATCATCTATTTAGCCAAAATATATATATATAAATGACTTCATCAATTTCCATAGTTTTCTCAATACAATATAAAAAGAGCTTTAAGCATTTAATATGGCCGCTAAACATCAATCGGACAAAGGGCTAATTAATTTATTTTCTCTCACAAGAGACAAATAAAAATTGATTTTTTACAACTTATTTTAATAATAATATAGGCTCCACCAAATCGTAGGAATTTGATTTCATATCGGATTTGGAGTTATCAAAAAATAATATATTCTAAAACCACGTGATTAAGGACAAACTTTGTGTGGCTAATTCTGTACTTCATTCTGAATCATTATTTGCATTATATTTGTCCTGCACATGTATTTTTTACTCAATCAATGAATCCCTAAATACAACATTATCAATCTCCATAATTTTATGAATTCAAATATTGGATTGTTTTAATGAGAATGAAATTGCAACGCAACTCTTTTGAGTCATACGCTAAATTTGAGAGGATGGATTTTTTAAAAGTTATAATTACAAGTATCAATTAAAATATTATATTATATACTCGATTCGTTCAAAAATTATAAATGTATTCGAATTAAAGTTTAATTGAATTGGAAAATATTCTCATGGTATTATTTTTTTTAAAAGAATTTGAGTTTAGACAATATTAATCACAAAAATATATATAATAGATTTTGATAATAAACATTAAATATTATAAAATAAACATTAAATTATATATATATATATATATTGAAATGAGTGTCTTGAATACAAGGAGAAATTTGTGATAATTCAAGAACGCGATGAGACCATAGCCTTATTAAGAAACCTCCCTGGTTCCAATATGAGGAAAAATAGTGCACTATGACCTAGTCTATACATCACGATTAATATTGTAAGTGGAACAACGAAGCTTACACAATACTACTCTCAGGAGCTTCTGTATCCTTTTATTTGCTTCTTATCTGCAGAACTAGGACTTGTAAACAAAAGAAGGTGGCTAACCGGATCACTCTATTCCCCTGGCCACACCTTAATCCTTGATAGTTCGATAATTCCACTCGATAATTCACACATTACAAACACCACGAAAGTTCTTTGGTTCAATATGCGCAGACTACTAATGGAACTAACAACGACCAGGAGGACATTCCAAATCAAAAAAGCCACTACAATGCTAGACTTCACCAATTCCTCACTCTCAACATCTTCTAAATGTGGATAAACTGAGGATTGCAGCAATCAAATACACCCATTTCTCACAAAACACCAGAACCAAGCCCATAAACTAATCTGGATATACCCTAACAATGATAAATTCGGAGACAACAAGACTAACTACGCAACACAAGCAGACAGTAACAAAGACCCCATAATAACACAAGACCCCACGAACAACTATTCACAACAAGGTTAAACCTGCAGACCTTACACACTCAATCCGTTCGACATCCCGATCAAATCGGACTGAACTTGGCAATAGACAGATCAACAAAGTATCATTCATGAGGCACACGACCCAGAATGTAACAAATCAGAACCAAATGAACCATCACTCTCAGAAAAGAAACTTATTCCTCAGAAACGCTAGCAGACCTGCTCAATAACACATCCACAGACCACCACAGTTATACATTCAACTTAATCCATAGAAATGGCTGGTCTCGCCTCACCTCCTCACTTGCAAGGACATGGGCATCGAGGTTCTCTTCCTTATACACAAATTTCACAGACCAAGCAAAACCAAAACGAGCACTACACTCAAAACATCTATTTACCAAATCAGCATAGAGAGAATGGGATATACTTGGGTTATTAATCCAATTAACTACCAGTTGGCAATCAGATTCAATACATAGATTCGTAATATCGTTCTATCTGGAGGAGGAGAAGAGCTGGCAAGCCTCATGAATTGCAACAAGTTCAACGCTAGTTGGATCTGACATTCCAATTGATCGAGAGAAGCGAATGAGGGCTTCCCCAGAGTGATCTCGTAGAATGCCCCCAATAATAGCTTGCCCAAAACTTCCAGGTACTGCAGTGTCGACTTTGAATTTCATATTATTGATATTAGGAGCAGTCCACACTCCACACACCATTAGTATATCTACGGGAGACACCAACTTGAAAGAAGTTGCTGACGGGCATCTGATGAACTCATTTATAGAGACCACCGAGCTCGGCCAGATGCTTCTTGCCCAGTTACGAATCCCCAAAAGTGATAAGTCGAATATGTTCTGTTCGTTGCACTGCTTATTGTTGAATAAAATTTCATTTCGTACTAGTCATATGGTCCACACAATACCAAGGAAAGCTAAATGCCATAACGGTCTAATGGACGATTTAACAGGCTGTTGCACCCATAGGGTGAGAAGAGATATTAATGAACCGGGACACACGAATTGAAAGTTCCAGCAACAGCACCATGCCTGCCAAATCCTCCACGTTACTTCGCACTGACAGAACAAGTAGTTTACGGTGTCTACGCTTTTGTTGCAAAGGACACAATTTCCAGCATCTTGCACACTAATTCCACGCTTAATAAGTTTAGATTGGACCAGGATACGATCTTGAACAACTCTCCATAAGAAAAACTCCACCTTTGGAGGCGCCAAACCTGCCCAAACAAACTCCAAAAAATTATCAGCATTAACACCCCTACTTGAAACTTGTTCACATAAAACTCTGGGCATAGGAGCTGCTAACCCACCACAACTCATCATGGCTTACCACGTTATTGACAGCATTTGATAAACAGTTTAAGAAGTTTTGCCACATATCACATTCCCAATGGAACAACCGTCGACATAAATGAACTATCCATTCCCAAACACCATTAACCCTGAACCCTAATTCCTTTACCTTACCCTCCATTTTCAAAGCGAGAGCATAAATACGTGGAAACAAAATCTTAAGAGTGGATCCCCCAACCCATATATCCGACCAGAAGTCAATTAAGCTACCATCCCCTACAATAAACCGAAGATTACTAATAAAATCATCATCTTGATTCTGCATAGTTCGTGATATGTCTCTCTAAATCCATGATAAGTGATTCTTAGATACAACATCTGGAAGTAACCTTCTCGAATCAGAACCTAAACTAGCATCAAATATTCACCTCCACAAGCTTTCAGTTTCAGTACTGTAACGCCAAAACCAATTATTAAGGATCTATTGTGAA